TTATATCTATATATATATTCCTATACAAGAAAACCGAGACATTTCTACTAGCGAGGAAAGGTCGTCGGAACCGGGCTTCATAGGGTGGATACGATTAGAGGGAAGACACTTGGATTCCTAAAGTGAGTAACCTCAAGCCGTTGAAGTTACAACCGGGAACCGATTCCCACAATCCACATCTTTGTTGAAGGAGTTCAAGACACTCGGTAAATATTTCGTATTAGTTTTTACTTTATTATAACAAATCAAAATTTGTATTTGATGCATGTTTTAAAGATGACGATCAGTTAATTCGCAATTAGTATGTACGGGTGTTGTATTTATTTGATAAATACTTACTTTGAAAAATTTTAAATTCCGCTGCTTAAAGCCCGTACGGTACTATCGAACCCAACACTTCCCACCGACTCGAGCTTGCAAGTTGCGAACCTGAGCCAGTAGTTGTTCTAACGTCTCGTCCCTCGCTTGTGGATTAATAGTTCGAATGGAGGATTCTTCCTCATCCACCCTTCTGTTCTGTTGTACGTTTGACTGGGCTTGTTGCTTGCCGCGCGGCTGCTGCTCAACTCGAGGCGGGTACTCGACACGGGGCTGTTGCTCGACCTGGGGTGGGTACTCGACTCGAGGCTGCTACTCGACCTGCGCCATCTGCTTCATCTGGGCAGCCACGGCTTCAGCAATCATCTTTTGCATTTCACTCCTCGTCACTGTCAAAGTCTGCTCCTCGACGCGGGGTTGTGTCTGCTCCGGTATCTCTTGTATCTGCTTTTTCTCGCGTCGGGACATCTCCGTTGGCTCCTTCTCTCCATCTGGGTTAGGGTTTTGACTTGTTCCTGCCTGGGTCAACACTTGCAGCTTCACTCCGGTTGGGGTGACGAGAGTTTCTCCGCCCAACGTCAGTCCTGGTTGTGGAGGTCCTCCAAATGGCGGCATCCCCATCATCTGCATCACTGGGTGTTTGGTGGTGGAGAGTGGCGGCGGTCTCATGTCCATCCACGTTCCCTGAACTCCTCGTTCAGATTCCTCTGCAAACCTTCCTTTTACGTCATCAGCAAATAGATCGGAGCTGGGTGTGAAGCTCTTACTTCCTTCAAGAACTCCCCACAGACGGCGCCAATATGATGGGTCTACTCCCGGATCTGGAGTAAACCGGTGGATGTGAGCTCAGATCTGCTTGAACCGTTTCCAAATCGTTGCTAGACCGCGGGATTCCTACAAAAACTCAACGCCGGAGGTGTTTCCGGCGTAGAGCCTCCGACGCTCAAGTCAGTATGAGAGTGATGAAGAGATGCTGCGCAGCAGCTATGGGGAGAATGGGAATGAATGAGAGTTAGGGTTTGAGGTTACCTCACCTCCTTTATATAGGAGTGAATACTTACTTGAAGTACCTAAAATACCCAGGTCGGTGGACCTAGAAGGTCCAAAATACCCTGGTCGATTCGCCTTCCCTTGCTGCTGAGTCATCACAAGATTCTTTCTTATCCTTTATAATATGTGGAACTTCAAGTATGCTGCAAGTGTGATGAGTCGTCACATCTTTATTATTCGAGGTGTGTGGGGTCGACTTCGAGAGTTAGGAGGTCGACTTGTGGATATGTGCGGATTCGGAGGCTACGCTTGGATAACTCTCTGAGGTGAAGTCGTCTTCAAAAAATTGTCTTAGTTAAGTCGACTTCTGGGAGTCGACTTAGAGCATCTCGATGCTTCGGAAGTTACGCTCTTGTTGCTCTTCTTATACTGATGTCGACTAGTGGAAGTCGACAGGCTGAGGTCGACTTGTGAGAGTCGACTAAACAGATTTCCGCCCTTTTTCGGTCGCTCTCTGTAGAATCGACTTTAGGGAAGTCGATTTATGTGTGTTAATGGTAATATATCATCCTGTAGGCGGTCTGAGCGGTTACTCGGTCGAGTAGGGAGCCTTTGGGCCGGTATGTCCTTGTATGGCTATATCAGTATAGATTATGTTATGTGGAATTTAAATTTAATCTGATCATTGACTCTGTGATTGCTACTCAAAGTTACCTGAAAAAACAATTTCGTTTCATGTCAAAATGATGCTTAATTTAGTAGCAGATATACTTTTCTATGTACACACGCATATTGAAGATAAAAATTCCATAAGTGGATTCTATTATTCATACGAAAGTGCATTAAAAAAAAAACACAGAATGTAACTTCTCAAGATTGTAATTAGTATTTTAGTATAACAATAAACCAATCCCATATTATATAACTCGACTATTATTTTAATCTATTAAAATTAATATCACAATTTAATCAGCTATGACAAATATATCAAGATAATCACGACCACCGACATATTACTTCTTCAATGAAATTAATTCCTGCATTTCACATCTTCAACACAAACAAAACTATATCAAAACCACACTTCATCATCATTCACAAAACAAAAACTGCATGAAGAAAATCCATTAAGCAAAACCAAAACGAACCACGTATAAACAATCACCCTGAAACTGATTTCATGTACAATAATAAAAAGCTCACATCTTTTTATCAAAACACTTACATTTACACTGCCTGTTGTCAGGAAAAATCTACCGACAAATCGAAAACACTGATAGCCCACAAAGGAAAAAAAAAACAAAAAAATAGAAATATCCAGACTCTCCACCTGTAACAGCAGTTCAACAAGTATCAACTTCATTAGCTGGGGGCACTTTCTCCGAGTAATTGGACATATCTATTTCGATAAGTGCATGATCGTGGGCCCCACTGGCATTATCGTTCGGTACATCGATTAAAGACGACGTGTTGACCACGTCCAATTTCATAATATCGTTTAGCGAACTTTCGAGGCTGCTACCACTTGAATCCGATAGGCTCGCCAATTGTATGTCCTCCAGCTTATTCCCAAACATGCTTTTGCTTTTTCGGGCCGAATCCATTTCCGGACCAGTCGGGACAAAAGTTCGGGCCCTGTACTTCCTTGAACCATCATCACTGTCGCTAGGATTGTACAGCACGTAATCATGGTAGGTTGGCGCAAACTGTGCAAAAATTGAGTCATATCACTTTTGCATCAAGAAATGAAATAGTTTTAACCCAAATAACAATAACCATGATGATGGTGATGATGATGATGATAATAATAATAATAAGAATAATAATAATAATAATAATAATAATAATAATAATAATAATATTTCAATATAAATTATTACCTGGTGTACTGTATCGTGGTACAAGTCGTTTAACTTCAACGCGTGTGCAAGGCTTGCAGTGAAGCCACGATTAGCGCCGATATTTGCACCAGCATAAACTTTGTAAGGGAAGGCATAAAGATGTCCAATGGCAGCAATAAGCATCTCAACGCAGATTATAAAGTTTTGAAAATCTGCAGCTTCCTTAGTATCCTTTATGAATCCAGATTTTGCCGCAAGAAAGACTAGAACACCCTGCAACAGACAAATTATTTTAGAAATCATATGAATATATGAGCTGTGAGCAACAATTCTCACACCACTGCATCTAATACAGCTAATTTGCCGAGTTCTACTTTGTGAGCAAGCTCGGTGGATAACAGTTTTAGAATGCCCTCGTGCTTTCATTTGTTTTTGAGAGTACTGTTACTTGCATCAATACACCAGTAGCATAAGCAATACGAAAGCAAAAAATCAGGCCATCCCACATTGACAACTCAGACATTTACAACATGTGAGATCTCGAAAATCCATTTGCAGACAGTCAATGCACATTAGACTGAGAACAATGTGAGTTCTCCCGGGAGAAACCTGGACTTTTATGTTCAAGTAATGACAATTGAAAGCAAGATAAGATAAGCACATGTTACATTGAGGTGGCGATTGACATGGATATTCTCATTTTTCTATGGTCACTTTGTCAGTCATAATTTATCTTAGTAAACTATAAATTAAAAAAAAAAAAAAAAAAAAAAAAAAAAAAAAAAAACTCTGATTGTTATTAAATAAATTCGGTAAATTCTTTAAAATAAAACGGGGGGTTACAGTTTGGTATCAGAGCCAGTCTGCGTTCCTGTAGACTGGCATATATGTGAAAACATGTTTATGTGTTTAATGACCATTTGACCACTCGCTTTCGTCTCGCCGCGCCAGCTCAAGGTATGAGTTTTAGTGTTTTGATTATTGTCGATAATGTGATTATGGTTTTTTCTTTTATTGGGGCTTAGGAATTACCCTCCGTTTATTCGGACTTGAACTCTAGTGGTGTAGAGTTAAGTGCCGACTTTAGAGATTTTTGTTGTGAGTTTTTTGTTGGGTGTTATCGAGTTAAGTTCGGTCTATAGCAGTGCTCTCGTTATGAGTTTCTGTTTAGTTCCATCGAATGAGAATCATTCGTAAGCCATCTCGAAAGTGAAGGCTTAAGTAAAGGGAACAGACAACCGAAAGAGTCCCAGGTGTGTGGATTATTCGAAAGTCTGTGACTATTGTGGATAGAACTATTAGACGCGTGTAGAACCCGGCTAATGGGAATCGTGAGTGTAGTCTAAGTGTTGGGTTCAAGTTGATGATCCGACCACTTGTTCTTGTAGATTCTTGGAGATCAGTTTGATGGCTGAATTCCTTGTCATAATTTGCCCGCTATCATCCGTTCCTTTCTCATTAGTTTGTCTCGTGAA